ATCACTATTGTACGACCTTTGTCATTTCTTTACGTATATGAATAACTCAAGGTAAGCCTTAAGGTTCATCCTTTGCGCTAAGTTTATTTCTATCGCAAACTTACTTAATGCGACACCAAATTCTTACTGGATATTTAACTGTTCAAATTCTAATGTATACCTCATGGCGAAAACAAATTTAATCGTTCTACAAGCCCAAATTTGCGTCATCAATATTCAATTGGCGTGTGGCTACAAAGAATTATCGCGCAAATGGTGCGCCTAAAATATGTAACAGAGCGAGAGATGCCCTTCGCGTTCAACCAAAGTGAACCCTGCCTTCGTGCACGCTCGCGGATATATACGCTCGCGCGCGAACAACCACACTCGTGAGTTTACCAGAACGAAACTACATGCGTGGTCTAGATGTATGCAATTTTGACTAGATTAACGCTGCATTATTCAGCTAATTAACTGCTAGGAACCGGCCCAGCCCGCTGTTTTCGGGTATCCCCCCGTGAAAACAACGTCGTTTGTCTTGCACCTCTTGCTCTCGGAGATACTCGCTCGGCACCGTCGCAGATATAAGCTTTTTGCGTTATTGGTCTTTCAAACTTCTGTCTGTTGCATTTAGCAACTCAGTACAGAGAATGGCAGCGATTGTTTATGATTTTGTGAAATTTTTTTAAATCTACTTAAAGATTTGTCTGAAACAACTTTTTTGTTGGATAAAATTTTTTCTCTTATCGGCAAAAGACTCGTATCATTTGTTGAAATCGCCTAATTACCGGTGGTGGTGGAGTGGTTCAGTAATTTTTTTTTTCAGAAAATACGACGACTTTGTTACAGCGAGGGAAATATCGAGAGACCGAAAGAAGTTTATAGACGCGTGAGAAACTAACCGGGAAATGGAAACCTATATCCAAATCCTGCCGTCCGCCTTTCGTATTGATTTGAAGAGCAGCGAAGCACGAACGAGCTATTCCGAGTTTGGCAATCATGTTCAACGTTGCGACCGCCATCTTCTTCGGGAACACTACGCGATATTGCAGTGACGTTCGGCGTTCTCCTCTCAAGCGCGAGCTCTCTAAACTTTGGTCGAATCGAGGAGATGGCAAAGGAGGATAAGAGGAGGGAAGCGGGCAAGGGGAGCGCGGCCGCAGAGAAACGGGAAAGGCGATGCTGGAAATGGGAGAATGGCTGAATATTCCTCGAGGACGAGCACTCCGTCGGCGGCGGTAACGGCCGAGTCTAGGCGTAGCCGATCCAGAAACCAGAAACCAGAAACCCAGGTATAGCTTTAATACAGAAACTATCTTTATACCGCACGGATGGACATGGACGAGGTACCTTTCAGCCGTGTTTCAGAGAGCTACGCAGTTTGCGAAATTATATTTATCTCGACCTCGTTCCCCGGTTTCGACGAAATCGCGAAGTGAACGCTAATTATAATAAAGCGGCGATACAAATACAGCTTAAAATTCAATAACGGTCATGGTAGAAGAATGACGAAAAGCATCCTTCATAGAATGATTATACGGTTCATCTGTTCTTCACTCGCACTCGAAAGGATATATCGTACAGTCTTTACAGTCAGTTTGGTACGAAATGTGATCGTCCAATTCCCAGTTGTTATCTATTTAGCATTCACGTTCAGTGTCAATGTGAGATAAAAATTATACGACCACATTTAGCGTTAAATGCGCCGTGAGAATACGGATCGTCGCCTCCGTTATTAGTATGGCACTAGAGCTCAAGCTGCGCACGTCTCTCTTTTTAAAGATGACCTTCGTAAAAACTCATCTTACTTGCTTTATACAGATATAACAAGAGTGTCTCAGATTTCTCGTACTCGTTCTAGGTAAACAACTACAAAAAAATATAAC